TCTCTCTCTCTCTCTCTCTCTCTCTCTCTCTCTCTCTCTCTCTCTCTTTCTCTTTCTCTGTGTGTGTGTGTGTGTTTCCAACCAGATCAACAGATGGATCATCTCCAGTGCCAACAAACCTTAGTGCCCAAATTTTACACGGAAAGTCACCTACCGCTGTTGCCGCAATCGGCACAAGAGATGAGCTCCTCAGGTTTCTTTTCTCGGTTTTGTTCTTTTGTACCAAGGCAGAAACTGCAGATTGGGATTGGTTCAGCAACTGGCTGCAAGGGGAGGGGGGAGAGAAGAGGAGGAGGGAGAAAGAGAACACAAGCTTTCATTAATTAGCATGTTTGCAAAATACTGTATCAAGATGGCATGGCAAAGAAGCCTAACTTTCACATCAGATGAGAGATGGGAGAACTTGAGGGTTCTGGGACTGCTTCTCCCTTTCAAAGTCAAAGTAGTTGACAATGAACACAGAGTGGAAAGGAAGCTAGGTCCAAATCACTCTGGCAGGAGCAAACATATATGGGGGGAAAGTGGTGTCTCAGGTCCAAAGGAGAAGCTGCCTGAACAACAGGTGCCCCTTTAGCTCACATGATCCAACCAGGATTCAAGTCAGCGGCTTGAGAAGACAAAGTCAGTCAAGATTTCTGTCGAGGATCATTATACAAGCAGACTTAAATGGCCGCAATTGAGCCCAGAATTTATGCTGCTAAGTGAAACATTTGTTAAGTGAGTTTTGCCTCCTCCCCATTTTACGACCTTTCTTGCCACTGTTGTTAAGTGAATCATTGCAGCTGTTGACGTTAGTGACGTGGTTGTTAAATGAATCTGGCTTCTTTGCTGGGTAGAAGGTCGGAAAAGGGGACCCCAGGATTCTGCAACCGCAATAAATATGGATCAGTTGCCAAACGGCTGGATTTTGATCCCGTGTTCCTGAGGATGCTGCAACGGTCCTCAGTATGGAAAACATTCATAAGTTACTTGTTTCGGTGTCATTTGTAACTTTGAATAGTCCCTAAGTGAACTGTTGTCATTCGAGGACTACCTGTAGGCTACTGTGTTATATGGCACAAATTGTCCCCATACTTACTAATTTGGTAATCTTGCATTCTAAGTTTATTGATGGCTGGGAAATAATAAAATGCTGTTTCAACAAAATTGAAACAATAAAATGATGGGAAAGACTTGGCTGTAGGACAGAAGGTAGTAACTCTCTCTGGTTTGCTATAAATCATATGCTCTTAGCACTTTACATCAGCCGTATCAATCAGTTTCTTGACATTATCAGCAATATATCTCTCCCCAGTGTAACTGGGTTGTTCAGGAAATCATGGGGGGGGGGGGGGGTTGGCTCCTTAAAAAAGCAATTTTAGCTGCAAAGTAGAGATGGGGTGTATTATGTCTGATTTTTGCTGGAGATCTTAATTCTACAAATGCCAAAATGCCAAACCAATTATTATTATTTAATATGGGGACAGCATTATTGAGTTGTCTGTATGCTTGTTCTAGATAACCCCCCCCCCCCCACTTTCCTCATTCTCAGTTATGCGGAATCCAAGATCTCAACACAAGCCATCCAACTGATATCGATGGATTTCTAACAAAGATGCCATCAAGTAGTGAAACTAATCGGGCTTGATTCAAACTAAACCCCCTTCCCTTCTTGTAGGTGTTAAGTCTGATGTTGGAGGGCACTTCACCGAACTAAATATACAGGAAGATCAGAATGAAATGTTTAAAAGACGCAAGTGGGTGCCAGGAAGGAAGGACTCGAACCACTAACAGATTCTTTCCACCTAGTAGGAAAAGACAACAATAAGGTAAACGTCTTTTTTTTTTTTTGCAGAAATCTTTTCTTTTTTTGGGGGGAAGAAAAATTCCTGGAAAAGGTCTAATCAAAACTTCTGCCGCCCATCTCCCTTTGTTATATCCCCTCACCTGACCCTTTTCTCATCTCTTCTGGTCAGCTAAGCAACAAATGAGCAACTCTGAAGGACAAATAGGGAAAGACTGACAGCAGAGGGTAAGAAGAACATTTTTGAGAGTGTAGAAGCTTTCCTCTAGCTGGCATCCCTAAGGGAATCACCGAATAATAAACTAACAGTTTTACAAGTGCAATCAACACCAGAGAAAGAGAAAAGAGAAGGAAAGTATATTGAAGAAAGTATATTGAATGCAGTTAGGATACGTGTAATTACAGAGAGTAGGCCAGGAAGCCAAGGGGAAAGACTAATCTTTTCAATCAACTATTGTAGGAAGGGGTGTAAGATATCCCTGGTGATATACATAGGCAGCAAAGAAATCTGGAGACAGCAAGGAAAGAAATAAACGTATACAACTGAAGACCTGGGAGAAAGAGAGAGAGACAGAGAGAGAGAGAAAAAAGACAAGGGACAGCAGCAAGAGAATCTGGCAGACGTTCAACTCTCTCTGCTGTTTTCCTTTCAAGCACATCTATCGATGTAATGTCAGCAGAGCCGAAGGGAAGGGGGGAGGGGGGAAAGAGGAGGGGGGGGAGTGGGGGGGGGGGGGGGGGGGAAGTGAGACTGTTTTAAGGGTTGCCAGCTTCTCAGCGCACAACACAAAAGCTGTCTGGGAAGCCCACTTGCTTGACTGTTCCCATAGCGAAGCACCGAGAAGAGAACAATTTATGGAAAGGAAGGTTTGATACAAAAACACACACAAGAGATGTATACATGGAGGTAGCAGCCAACCATTTCTCCTCTTCTCGTTTCGTCTATTTTGGGAGTTCTTAGTCCAGATGCAGACTGGAATATCAACTCCTGCTTGCAGAAAAAAGAGGGTCCCTTCCACATTATGCAATTTGCTGCATTTGTTCCATTTCCATCCTTCTGCTTTAGGCAAACAACAGAAGGGGAGGAGGGAGCCATGACAGCCTGGGCACCCAGTTTAAAAAAAAAAAAACCACAGACAGGCACTCATGTTTACACACTGCAAGTACCTGGAGGCGGATTTACTTTTCTGTTCTTAGAACACAGGTAGGGAGTAGAAAGGCAGCCTGCGAGGGCAGATAGACCATTTCTCCCTCCTATATATCACTCTTACTCAGTAGTAATTTAACCTTGGATATATCATCCTTCCTATTAGATCTTCGAAGTATATTCCTAATGATCCTACCCTTGCATTACTATTAGTGCAGAATATTATGGTGGAGACAGACTAAGAAGAGTGACAGTGAAAACACCCCAAGCTAACTTCCTCAGATTGGCCCTCCATTTAGAATCACAAGGCTCTTTATGCCAGCTTGTGTAGAGCTCCTGATATATATATTTTTCTTTTCAAATGAACACCCCGCTTTTAACACCTCCAGATTAAAAGTATCATAAATCTCAGAATGTTCTGACAATTGACTACTCGCCGTCCTTGGCCAACTGTACCCTTGGAAACAGCAGAATCTTTTGAACATGCAGCGGTTTTAAGATCAGACCCTTTTTAATCTACTGCTGCAGGATACAGAAAACGCCACTCAATTCTGACATCAGGTCCAAAGCCTTAGAAGTGACTGTGAGGCATTCTTTGGGGAATCAATCCATGTACTTTGAAAAAACATTACAGAGAGTGATACTTGACTCAGTAAGTTCATAAATAAACTGTAATCTCACAAGTCAAGCATTTCTTTTTTGCTTCAGTTCTTGAATCAAACAAAAGATAAAGCTTGATTCATTACACGGGCCTTTTTATCAACTGCCCTCCAGATGGAGTTAAACTACAATTATATCTGGCAGGCGTTAAGGTTATGCTTAGCAGCCAGCCTAAGCATAACATTACTGAACCTCCAGATGTGTCCGACTGCAACCTTTATCATTCGCACCAGTGAGTGTGAATGTAGATGACAAAAGTTCAACACATCTCCATGTTCAGTTGGGTTAGGGTTAGGCTCATTGTTCTTCAATTTTTAATGTCCAACTTTGGAACTTTAAAATTGGTGAGCTTCAACTCCCAGAAATCCCCAGCCAGCATTCTGGGATTGAGGTCCACCAATTTTAAAGTTGCTAAGGTTGGACACCGCTGCTTCTTAAGACTGCTTCTAAAAACATGCCACTGAAAGATGGTGAATTCTTCATCACTGAAGACTGCGTTCTTAAATCCCCTAAACACAGTGCACTTTGAAATGCCTCTATCTTGGAAACATAACAATCAAATGGAGTTTCTTATCATCACTTCAACTGCTATTTCAGGGTGAAAACAATTGTTATGAATCTATGTTTAAATTACCTTGCATTCTTACAGCAACCAGGATAATAGCCAGGTAAATAAATAAAATATGCAATAAAGCAGGTGTTATACATAATACCATAACATAACAGCGCAGCAGAAACAACCCACAGCTACTGAACCATGGGGTGGAAACAATATCTGCTTCACCAAGGAATCCTTTCTTCCTTCCTTTTTTCCTCCCCCCTTCCTCCCTCCTTCTATATTTTCCATATAAATTTATATAGCAGCACAACTCACACATAGGTGGTTCCAGGCAGCTTACAATATTTAAAGATCCATCATCATTGTTGTCATCATCATCATCCATCTCTATCTCACCCCCCCCCCATGGCAGCAACAACACAATCAGATCAGCCACTTGACAAGCTCCATTCTTCTTGAACCTATATAAATATCACCAACATTCATTGACAAAAGGACCATTGCCACTTTGCCTTAAACCAACACTAGTCAGTTCAGTACTATGTGCCAATGGATGAGTATTTATTAATTTCCACAATAAATTTCCCAAGCCTAAAAGACACAAAAACAGCCACAGTTCTTAAGGTGAATGTGCCTGAAAATTGGAACATTCCCCCAGATTTCAAAGTTGATCCACATATTTTTAAAATTAACTCCAGTTGTAACAAAGATTCATGTTATTATCATGAACTGGCTTTTCTTGTGCCAAACAAGAAGAGGAAAACATTTCTTATTTCTGTAAAAAGCATTTATTATTGGTTCAATGAACATGTTCTATCACATAAAGAACAACCATTTCAAAAACAACTTTACAGCTGACAGTAACTCAGTTCTGAGCTTCCCTTTGGCAATGACAAGGAAAGAAAAATTAGTTTATAAACCTGGGACTTCAGTCTGAACAAAGAGATATAAAATATCCAAAGTAATGACAAATGTCATAAAGTGAAGAGAGAGGAGAGAAAGAAAGAGAGAGGATAGCTTAGTATTTTTAAAATATATTTTATAGTTCTGTCTGGTTTATACTGAACATCAAATCATAATGTGATTTTGCCCTTTTATTGGCCACAATTCGCAC